GCAGGCCTGGGACCGGGCGCAGGCCTCGCCACTGCGGCCCCTCACCTCACGGCTCAGAGCGGGGTCTGGGGCTTCGGGCGTCTCTGCCAGCAGGAAGATGTGTAATATATATATGTAAATACAATCTCTGTCTGAGAGCTCGCCACGGTAGAGGATTTACCGCATCCCCCGGAGGGCCGTTCCCTCCCTTGTGAAACGCTGCATCTTGCTTCCCACTTGGGTTTCTCTAAATTCAGCGTCCAGCCACTGGGTCTTGTTTCACCTTCGCCTTCTGGTTAAAAAGGTCACCCGGTATCAAGCGTCTTCTCCTGGATCAAATCACCCCTTTCCTCAATTTTCTGTTAAGTTAAACAGGCCACGCTCCTCTCATTTCAAGAGGGATCTCAAGTCATTCCTGTGGCTCTTCCCTGACCTCTCCCATTTTTCAATCATCTTTTTTTTCCAAAGACAGAGGTCAAAAAATCTGACCAGGGGTCTGTTATCAAATGAGCATTCCCCGCCCCCCCACCTCGTGATCTGGGGAGCTTGATGTCCCTTCCCATTGCTTGTCCTGCCTCTGAGGTTCACTCATCACACAGAGTTACAAAATTTTACTTAATTTAATGAAAAACCTTAATTTAATGAAAAAAGAATCTTTGCTTTACTTCGTGACAATGTCCCAACTACTAGTAGTTGGGGCTCAACCCATGTGGCTCAACACATTATTACAAGACTTAGGCTTATTTCTTTAAGAGAAATTTCACTTAGAGAAATTATCTTTTTCTGTGCCTGTGTGTGTAAGTACTACAGCTACTCCTGCTGGTAAGATGTCTCCTTCTGCCGTCTCCGCTTGTCCTGGAGGTTCACTCATCACACAGAGTTACAAAATTTTACTTAATTTAATGAAAAACCTTAATTTAATGAAAAAAGAATCTTTGCTTTACTTCGTGACAATGTCCCAACTACTAGTAGTTGGGGCTCAACCCATGTGGCTCAACACATTATTACAAGACTTAGGCTTATTTCTTTAAGAGAAATTTCACTTAGAGAAATTATCTTTTTCTGTGCCTGTGTGTGTAAGTACTACAGCTACTCCTGCTGGTAAGATGTCTCCTTCTGCCGTCTCCAGCTTTCTCCTGCAGATCATAGTGAACCTGAACTGTAGGCTCTTGCAGGGAGGGCTTATTCCTTTTATTCTTCTGTAAGTGCTATGCACATCTGTTATGCTGTCTAAATAATAATCACGCAGCTAAGCTGGCTTCCATATATAGCTGACCTGGATAAGTTGACAAGAAAACACTTCCTCTCCAAAAACAGCATACATTTTTGGGCTTAATTTTAGTAACATGAGGTTTATTGCCCATTTCTTTTGCTGTTACGTATTTGGAGAAAAAGAAAACATTAGATATGACGCACATGTCATTTCACAGCGTTAGACTTTCATTCCTAATCAAACACTGCAGAACTTTTGGAAACGACGTGAAGACAGAGCTGCACTAATTAGATGGCATCTCCCGGCTAGGGAGCTCATCATCAAAACTGAGATCAGACAAAACTTCTTCTTCGAGGTCAAACTGTTCCAAGGACAATTCACTGACCTGGGAAGAGAAATCAAGAGTAAATTTCTTTCTCTACAACATATTTTAGCTTCATCCCTCCGCACCTGGAAACAATATATTTTTACCATGTACAAGAGACAGCCTCCCCGGAATTTACCAACTCGGGAACATTTCTGTTTTGGAAAGACTGACCGACATCACAAGGCAATGAACCAAAAGGACACCCAGCAGCTCTCCTCCCAAGCAAGCCCTTCCGAATTCCTGTCTGTGCCTCTTCCTATCAGGCTGCAAGGTGCCTTGCGGAGAGAAAGCGCCGAATTACCTCCCACACACCATCGCAAGGGAAGTGAGGCGGCAGGAGAGGTGAGGGATGACCCTCCCGGTAAAAGAGAGGTTTGAGAAGCGGCAGGCCTTCTGTTTGACTTTGCTGCTCACTTCTCTTATGGTCATTGCATGTGGTCACTCTTATGCTCAGTTCTCTGCGGGTTTAAAAGAAGTCAGATAGAAGGGGCAGTACAGAGGAAAATGCAGACAAAGAAGAAACCAGCAGTAATTTCATCTTCTCAACTGATAAAAAAAAATTATCTGGTGGACGTTAGTTACTTCACACACCAAAATACCTCCTATTTTACTGCTACTCTTCAGTAAGAAAGGAAGATAGTTCTGCCCGTGGACACCAGGTGACTCAGTGTCATCAAATGGAGTAACGTGTCACAAGGTTCCTTAGACACTTCCTCCACGCAAACTGCAGGAGTTAGACACTGCGCAGCGCGGTGCTGACGCATCATGTGAGAGTGATGCTTGCTTTCGAAAGACCGCTGTATCAGTCATCCCCCCTGGTAGAGAGCAGTGTTCTCAAACTAAGCGAGATGAAAATCCTCTGCTCATGACTGGCTGCGTGCAAAGGCTGGCACGCAGAACTCATCTCACTGAGCACGATGACAAAAGTTTTACTGTTGTACCCCGGGGTATTTTTGTTCGATGCATGCTAACAGATCCCACAGTTACCTGCAGGGATTTCACCAAAGCTTTTATTTCACCAAAGCTTTTAACAATCATTCCCTCTGGGTAAGGAGGAGTTTGTGAAGTGCATTTCTAGATGGGAAGTTTGATTTATTTAGGAACTTATTAAAAAATCATTTGATTTAACCTACTGTGACTTTACCAGGATGTTCACCCTCACAGATTCTATGAAGAGCAGTCCTGGACACTGTCATGTGTGAGACTTGTCAAGCTGCACCATAACAGTCCTGTACCCTAACTGCTCGCTTTCCTGTGCCATCTAAAATATACATGCATTTCTCCACAGATACCCAAAAAAGTAAGAGTTTTAAAACCTTAGTGTGCTGTACAATTCCAAGACGTGATTACCCCTTGGGATTTAAGTCGAGGTAATTGCTGCATAAAAGGAGGGTGTCAGAGGCTGTAACAGTTACCAGCTGTATCTCCGATCTCTAGATGTAACATAGAGGTCCTGTGGAAAAGCTAAATATCCACTGCTTTTACCTGCACAAGCCCCTTCAGTTCCTCTTCTGTTAGGGAGTCTGTGAGCTCCTCTTGGGTGGGATCGTATTCCACGGCCACTTTCCCGTTCTCTGAAACAAGCACACAGAACAAACAGCCAGAGACACTGTTAGTTACTACTGTCTGCAATGACAATAAACCTACCCTAAACTCCAAATGGGACAATTCTGCTTCATAATGGCTTTCAGAGCGAGTGGCTGGTTGGTCTGAATGAGTGTGCTTCTTTCTCTGGCCTACCTGCCTGTCTTCCCCGCAGAAAACCAAATGGCTCTTACTGAATGGAGTGGACACTGAAATTGAGGAAGCAGAAATCTACGGAGAGGATGGAGCATGTTAATTGCCGGTCCCTGTGTATGTGATGGACCAGAAGGCAGGAAGCACTGCAAACCATCTGAATCCAGAAACCCACCTTCCGAAAGAACACCTTAAAGAAGCCAGGGGAGGAATCTGGCAGATGAAAGGCCCCTCTCTGTAAAACGAGGATAGTGGCGCTGACCTGATCCCATCAGGGCCTGTCCTGATAAGCATAAAAGACTGAAGTACCCAGACACCACATAAACAGGAGTCACCTAAAAGCTCAGAGAGCACAAGACCTGGAACCCAGAGAAAGCACATCTAGCAGTTCCTGGATAGGCACAGAGCCAGCTTCTATGACTAAAAACCCAAAGGAGACAGTAGCCCCAAAGATGCAACGCTGAATGCAACAGTGGGGCACAGACCTTTGATGGCACCTGGTTGGCTTGGAACCAGGACAGGAACGTGCAAAGTGCTGCAATTCAGTTCATGTTACCCCTGGAACCAGGACTCCCCCGCATCCCTATTCGGCATGCACACGTAGTGTTAAAAAGCTCCCCCTGCCAGCGTTCACACTCTTGGAATTCGGAGTTTCAATGACTTCTTTATCATAAAAAAATCTGACCTCCTGTTGGGTTTTCCTTTCTCTCACATAGCTTGTAGGGTGGAACCACTCTGTTAAATCATTACAGACCACGACACAACTTTAATTTTGTCCGAGACCCCCCAAGCCTCAGTGAATCCCAAGAAAGGTTCAGAGAAAAAGAATTCATATCAACTATCATGAAAGTTCTATCATTAGCCCAAACACCCCAGCGTTTAAACAAAAATAGGCCTTACCTAAGACTACGAGGAGTATCTTCTGAAAGGCGCTAGACAAAGCCTTCCCGACTGCGAGTTTCTGAACTCTTCTTGTGGCTGTGACAAACTCGAGAGGATCTGAACACAACCAGCAGCATGTTATTGATATTAAGCTGACACTCTGCATATGAAGCACACTAGCTGCATTGCGCTAGGAAACGTAACCAAACACAGCCTTAGGGATCTGATAAGAAAGCTGCTTATGTTTCAGGAGTCGCCGGCAGCATGGCAGCACCCTCACAAGGGCTTCGTGCGCCAACCCACAGCAGCACACGATCCTCAGCCCTGTGTCGGGACCCTGCCAGGGCAGCGGGCAGTGCAGAGACCCGCTGGCACCTCAGCTGTGCCACAGACACAGCATGAAGAATCACGTGGCGTGTTCACACCAGAAGTGGCTGCAATGGGGAATGAATAACGCTGCAGGTGAGAGGGAGAGAACAGCGGGTAGGAAAGCGATACTGGGGTGAAGCAGGGAGGGAAGAGGCATGCTCAGGATCCCTTGCTGCATAGCACGGTAGCTCACAAGGCCCCACACAGATCCTTGCCTCCAGCTAAATTCGGATACTACATCAGACCCACAAACTGTGCAAACACAAGACTGACCAGTGTCTGTGCCAGCTGCTAAGAGGGACTTCCAGCTGCATCCAAAACGTACCTTCACTGTTTTCGATGTCTGCCTCGCCGAGGGCAACTCCCCTGGTGCGTACCCCGTGGTTGGGCAGCATCACCTCTACAGCACACAGATATTTCACGGATCGCTTCTGCAATGTCTCTCCCAGTTCCTCATTCCCACCATCAAAGTCAGATATATTCTGCAGCTGTTGGGAAGACCACAGATACCAGACACATTCTGCAGCTGTTGGGAAGACCACAGATAATTAATTTCGATTACATAGGAAGGGGATGTTATGACCACTTAGGCCTATGCCTGCATGCCACAGATCTCTGCACAGCGTGTAACTCCAAGGCAGTAGCACACGGTAGAAGCAGAGCAGGGATGTTTTTGACACTATTTTAGAAATACCTCATACCCCCCATCCTCTGGGAGTCTCAGTCATCTCAGACACTTTCAGCACACAAAGATTACTGTCAAGCCCTGGCACTGCTTTAATCACAGCCGTCCCCATTTTTATTAACAGAAGCCAAGCCAGCGCTCTCACCCATAGCAATCTTCTCTCCCCAAGCTTTCAAAATACCCCCATTTGTGGTCCAAAACGCAGCTCCTGTAGCTGTCTATTATTTGCTGATTTGAGGACAATTCTTCTTATTCCGCCAACTGCTCTAATTAAGAAGAGGATAAGAGGAAGGGTGATGGATGAATATAAAGGGTCCCTTACTGTGATGATGCGGCTGGGCCAGCCGTTAAAGCCAAAGTAGTGGTTGGCCAACTCCTGGCACTTGTTGCTGTTGAGAGCAAGGACTTGCTGCCGAAACCCTTTCTGCTTGGTGCAAACACAAACCTGTCCAGGAACGAAGAACCCTGCTTAGCCAGGCTTTGCTTGCAAGGTTCTCACTACAGACACACCGTGGCTCCGGGAGAGTCATCCGAAGGTAACCTGTTCCCTGACCGCATGCGTGCTTCTGAGATCTGTTAAATATTTTTTACCCAAGAACAGGCCCTGCAAATTATTCCAGAGGAGGGATGCTGCCATTTTACTGCTTAAATGCTACCTGGGAGCCAGCGGTGGGGGATGTCACCACAGGGTAGCATCCAGCCAAAAGTTAGTAAACGTTTTGCACAGGGAGCATCACCGAGATCAACAATTATTTCGTGTAATCCCACACTGCTGCTGGAGGTCACGGTGCCGAGTCCTGCAAGTTTCACACCTGGGGCCGTTCTGCTTACCTTCAAGGGAGATTTCTGAAACAGCCTTTGCCCATTGCATGCGCGCTGGGCTCTGCTGGCATCTCCAGCCGAATAAAACTTGATGATGGCGTAATACCCGGGCCCTGCCACGGCAGCATTTCTGTGCGCTCGCACCGAGTAGAGCGGCCCAAATTTGGAAAACACTGAAAACAGGGAATGCTGAAGAAAAACAAGAGAAAAGAGGGTCTTTTGAAATATCTACGGGTGCTCCAGGGGCTGAGCAACAGCGACAGAGAGAGGACTACTCATGAGACCTAATTACCTAGAAATCAAGGAAAGTTTTTAGGAAGTTTAACAGCAATAAGGCCTGGAATAAGCAGTGAGACTGAAGATGAGTTATCTCTCCGTAAAAATAAGCTCAACCTGGCTGGACCTCCGACCCTGTTGACATCTCATCTCCATTATCATCCAGCCTCTGCTTCGGGAGGAGAGCGAAGACAGACGTGGGATTTTCTGTCCCCCCAGTCATCCTCATCCCAGACCGTCTCTTGCTCTCTGCCATCCTGCTTTGTGCGGGCGCGTGGTTTTGCCGACGCTTTCAGTAAAACATTAGCACAGTATTTTGCAAGCGGACTAGTGGGGTTTTGTTCCAGCTCTTCCCCCTTGCGCTGGGCTCTCGGTGGTTTTGCTGTGCCGACCACAAAACCGGCCGTGGCACAGGGGCAGACATCACCCTGCGGCAGCCCGACACCCCCTCGAGGTTGCCCTGCACCCAGCATGCCTCAAGGAGACAAGGAAACTAAAAAATGATTAAAAACCAACAAAATAAAATAAAAGGGAGGGATTTAAGAATATATTATTAGCACACAGGTGAAGCCATCAGTACAGATGGGGGGGGGAACTGGGCCCTTAGCTCCAGGGGGGGAGAGGGACCCTGGGGGGATCCTAGGCCCCGCTCCTCAGCCCCGGGGGGGGGG